TTTGATGTCTCACCAGATTCACCATCAGTTCTAATCATATGGAAGATATTTTCAAAAAATATAGCATCTCTATATTCACATATTGATTTGTCATTCAAGCTCATGAACCTATATGCAAAACTATTTTGAGCATAACCAATGAAAACACAATCAAAAGTTTTAGATCCAATCGTACGTTTTTTGAATGCTAGATATGCCACCTTTGCTAAGCACCCTCACACCTTCAAGTAGCTCCGATTTGGTGAATACCCTTTCTAGAGCTCGTATGGTGTCTTATCTAGCCTTTTGTGAGGGACCCTGTTAAGAATAAAACATGCAGAAAGTGAAACTTTCCCCCACATATCATCAGATAGACCAAAACTTAATAGCATGGCATTTATCATTTATTTTAAAGTTCTATTTTTCCGTTAAGCTATTCCATACTGTTGAGGTGAATATGGAGCAGTAAATTCATGTATAATTCCACTTGATTCATAAAAATCTTTAAGCGAATTATCACTATATTCACCTATCTGATCTTATCCTTTTTATTTTCCTATCTAATTGGTTTTTCTACTTCAGTTTTGAATTTCAAAAACATACTACTAGCTTCATCTTTAGATTTTAGGAGATATATTTTCGTATGTCGAGAAAAATCATCAACAAAAGAAATATAGTATTTTTTTCCACCTCTGCTAGTTGTGTTTTTGAAATCAGCTAAATCAGAATGAATTAATTCTAGGAGTTCAGTACACCTTGCAGTGACATGTTTAAAAGGTTTTTTTTTTAGCAAACTTTGCTTCTACACAGACATGACATATTTTAATTTCAGGCATATCGGAAGCAGTAATTAAATTTAGAGTCCTAAGCCTTTTAAATGATGCAATATTCACATGCCCTAATCTACCATGTCACACATCAAGAGACTCAACGATGTAAGCAGAACTAGAATTAATTTCATTTGAAGAAGTAGTGTTGAGAACAAACAAACCATCTGCTAAATAGCCCTTACCAACAAAGTCACCATTTTTGGTGATAATAACCTTGTTGGCCTCAAACACAATCCTAAGTCCGGCTCAGTTCAATAGACCTTCTGGCACCAGATTCCTATGCAGGGAAGGAACATACAACATATTACTTAATGGTAAAGTTTTGCCAGATGTGAGTTTCATGAGAACATTCTCTTTCCCAAGTACTCCAGTGTGACAGAGTTTCCCATGAAAACACATTCACCGTCGGCAGAGTCCTGGAAGTCATGGAAGAGGTCACGGTTCGAGCAGAAATGTCTGGATGCTCCTGTGTCAAGAATCCAGTCGGATTTGTTATCTACTAGATTCGCTTCCACAACCACAGCGGTAATGATGTCATCTGTCTCTGTAAGCTTGGCTTGTGGAGTAGTCATTTGATCTTTCCTATCTTTCCTCTGAGTGCACTGATAGGATTTGTGCCTGGGTTTTCCACAGACATAGTAGACCAGTTTAGTTTTCTCAATTCTTCCACCAGTATTTTTAGGTTGGAGACCTTTGTTCTTTTCAGCTCTATCCTTTGCAATTGTCTTCCCTTTATTTTTGAACCTGTCTTTGGAAGCACTAGAAGATTCAACCAAATTAGCTTTAACTGAATTTGAGGATTGAGAAGAGAGCTTATCCTTTAGCCTGTTGGCTTCCTCCGTGCGCACGTGACTGATCAGCTCTTGCAGAGTCAGGTCCTTCTTCTTATGTTTCAAGTGGTTGCGATAATCACTCAAGGAAGGAGGTAATTTCTCGAGCAACACATTGGCTTGAAAAATCTCACACATCTTTATGCCTTCAAACAACACACTTGCCACCAGGTTTTCGTACTCATGAACCTGGTCCATCACCGGTTTGTCGTCCGACATTTGACATTGAAGTCATTTACCAACGACGTACTTCCTTCTGCCTGTATCGTCTCCACCATATCTAGACTCTAACATGTCCCAAATGACCTTTGCAAATTTTTGGACTACAAAGAGATCAAAGAGAGAGTCGTTCATATGGTTGAGAAGATGCCTACGGACCGTTTTGTTGTCTTTCTCGAATTTGTCAGCTTCGACGGCAGTAGACGTCCCAGGAACAGCAGCAGCAACTGAAATGGTGGCAGCAGCAACGGCAGGCGGATCAGTGATGGTTGCGGTGACGGTAGCGGCAGTTGCAACAGCTGCGGCGGTAGTGGTGGCAACAGTAGTAACGACGACGGGCTAAGCAGCAATGAGAATGTAGTCGATCTTCTACTGCTCAAAGAAGATCAATAACTTTTGTTACCGTTGGCGATAGTTGGATTCGTCGAGTGGTTCCAATTTTGACAAGTCCGGCAGGACCTTCCCAGATCGGATAGTAGCCATTAGTAGAATTTTGCTTTCAACTGTTGGAAATTAAAGGACAAAATTGAAACCAGGAGGTAAAAACGTTGTGTCGTGGGTGGAACACTGCCTTGGAAGCAAAATCGGCACGATCTTGGTGCTAAATCGTTTTACTACCGGTATGCTCTCCAAGGTTAACACGACGTCCAATTCAGACGTGCACTCATCGGAATGGGAGTGAAATCAATCTCGTGCTCAGTTAAGATAGTTGAAAGAGGTGGAAAAGTGAAAGAATAGAGTGAAGATTGAGACGAATGGGATGAAATGAAATGGCAAGGAGTGAGTCTTTTATAGTGACGGGGTGGCCCACAATAGAATTGGATTTTTAAAAAATAAAAATTCAAAAATTATTTTGGCCACCTATGTGTCCTTTGACTAGCCATTTTAATCTCTAAACTTGAACCAAGCCCGAGCCCCAGCCTGATGGTGGCGGCGCGCGTGTGGGTCTTGGTCTTGGCTTGCCTCACACCAAGTTTATAAGTTCAATACTGAGTCAATGCTTATAAACCAACTTCCCAAAAGTTATTCTTCCGATCTGATGTTGGACAACAACAGGTTTTAATATTTATCATTTCCAACAATACTCCCTCGCGAGCTTTTTTTAGTGAAATTTTTAAATGGAAAACGAGGTGAATGTATAGAAGGGTTGTGAAATATTGAACTGTTTGGCTTTTGGGAAGCTGAGGGGAAAAGGTGGCAGAAAGAGGGGGCTGATATGAACTCAGTACCAACCAACACAGTTTACAGAAGAATAAATATAAGGAGATAGTAAATATAGCTACCTATATCATGTATTATTATTTATATAAATCCAAACACAGCTGTATAAAAGAGAGAATATAGGTAGCTCAGTTCTAAGTTAATTGTATTTGAGAGTTTCTATCGTGTCTGTTTAGTCTATATAATTTAAGAAAAAAATTTAGAAAGTTATTAACCCATTTCGAAGTTTCTATCGTGTCTATTTAGTCCATACAATTTAAAAAATTTTATAAAGTGATTAACCCTCGAATATTGAGTATAATAAGTCTTTATTTTGTTGGTCAATACGAGAGCATAGCGCAATAGATGAAAAAACGTATTACTATTCTAAAGGTGGATGGTTGGATTCCTCACCCCGTATATTGTTGATTGAACTAGAAAAAGAGGTCTTTGTTTGTTGGCTCCATTATTGTAGTTAACGGTTGCTAAACTTGCTTCAAATCAACTCTTCACCTAATCAGTAAATAATACAATTAGTGTGACGTAAACACTAGAACTAACGACATAGACTTATTAGATTCGAAATCAAAAGTTTAGACTTATTAGATTTGAAATCAAAAGTTTAAGGACCTATTAAAGAAAATTTTGAAGTACAAAAGAGTAGATAAACATAATCTCAAAAGTTTATAAGAAGCTATCAAATTGAGCTACATAATTGCTCAAACGATTGCAACAGAAAAATGAGATGAAATTTAATATTCGTCGTGCAACCTCTCAGATCTTGGCTAAATGATAAGGTCAATTTTGTGATATTTGTAATTTATTTTATCATCATATCTGATAACCATAAATTAAACCGGGTTAAATTACAAATTTGGTCATTGAATTATAATGATCATATATATAGTTTTTGTCATTAATTAATATGACATGTCTATGATTTATTCATATAAGTGACAAAAAGTAGTAGACAATTGAAAAATATAAAAGTAGCAGGCACTTAAAAATATACCCTCCTCTTAGAGCAACATATACAAAGTTTTTTTTAATGGACATTTATACATTTTGAGAATATTTCTAAAAAATAGAAATAATAAACCTAAATAGTTGTCAAATATTTAAGTTTCTTAACAAAATTGGAAACGAAAAATAGAAACGTTATTAAATGGATCCTTAGTACTTTGAAAATTTCTTCCATATAAATTCTTAGACTCGAGAGAAAAAAATCAATTGTCCATTTTTTATTTTTACGATGTCCTAATACTTTTGAACAATTTTCAAAACTACCTAAATTTTTCTTTATTCCTGCCATTAGCCTGATATATTAGGCAGTCAACCCTCATGATTCCAAATTGGACTCGAAATCGTCTCAAATTTCACTAATTTTCTTTCTTCCTCTCCCACACGCCACTCTCCCTCTCCAAATTCCACCAATTTTCTCCACCATCGCTCTTAATTTTCAAATATTTTTTTTCACACATTTATAAATTCCACTTTTGTCGAATAATTTTCTTTTTCTAAAAGATTTCTCTTCGAGTAATTTCATTATTTTTCTTCCTCCGTTCACTTTTATACTTCTTTTTTTTCTCCACTCATCCAAATTCCTTACTCAAATTATTATTTATTTAAATTTATTTGAAAATTGTAAAGATTGAGAGAAAAAACTAGAAAAAATTAGAGGAATGGGAAACAAGGGAGAGAAAAATTTGTAAAGATTCACAGATAGTATTTAGAAGGAGAGATAAAATTAGAGAAATTAAAAGAGATAAAGTGGATGATAAAACTGTTCCTAGACTAATAGTAATAAAATGATAAATTACACGTACATTGCACGTGATATTCATGAGTCCTACTAAATACATCAAAATCAAAACGTGGTACAACGAGCTGGTAATTGATATATATCTCGGAACTCCTTCGAAAACAGAAATCGGACTTCAATCGAAAATAGAATTTGTACTTTTTCTTTTAATATTTTCAGATATATGTTCAGCGTCATATTTGAAAATTGAATGAATGGCTTGTTTGAAAATTGCAGGTTCGCTGTTCAGCAGAGTATCACAACCAAAATCCCTCACCTTCTCTCCAAATTTCTCGTCTTCTTCTCATTTCCAGCGATCAAGAGCAAGAATTTTGGCCGCCTCAATGTCGAATGGAGCGGGCAATGGAGTGGTTCGCTTCAAAATCTCTCCCTCAACCGATTTCGTTATTCAGAAGGGGGATATCACGCACTGGTTCATCGACGGTTCCTCTGATGCCATTGTTGGTGACACACTCTCTCCCCCTTTCATTTTGCAAATCTCTATCTAAAGAATCGCCAATTTTACTGAAGGGTTTTTATTGATTTGCTTACTGGAGAGGATGGTAGGAACTGGTAAATTGAAACGATCTCTGCGTTGATTAATGATCAGAATGATCTTCAGTTCAGATGAGGGGTAGTGGAATTAAAAAATGTCGAGATGCTGTATTGTGGGATTTCTTCCTTTGTTTTAGTCATTTGCGACCTGGAGGTATCTAGACTTATCAATCAATCTACTGAGAACTATTTTGTAGAATTGTGATTGGGGTATTGTATAGATTAAGGTTACTGTGTACTCAAATTCATTGGAAGACCAATTTAGTGGTTCTAAGAAATAGGTCATTGGTGAGTACAAATTTTCCTCAGTAGTTTTTTGCTTTAAACTACAAAAGATAGTTGTTAAGCTGAACTTTGAAATGGCTCTCGATACTTCTTGGGATGATTGTTTATATCTGATGATTGAATACCTCTATTAACTTATTGTGTAACTGTAAGTGATGCAACCAAGCATCAAGGAGAGAAATCTCCAAAACTCTCAACCATTAGTTTTTTTTTTTTGTTACTTAAGGGATTGCTAATACAAGAGATTAACCTTTATATTTATTTAAGATTTAAGCCCACTAAGTAAGTAAACTAACCAACCAACCAACAAACTCAAACCCTTTTTTTTCTCTTTTTTATGAGAAAAATTACATATATTTTGTCATGTATTTTCTGATTTTTAGGATTCTCCAATACCTTGAAATCTATTATTAAGCTTTGGTTGCTTTTCTTTGGCTTGAATCTTGTGTAGGTTAATCCAGCAAATGAAGTAATGCTTGGAGGTGGTGGTGCTGATGGAGGTGTGGAGTTAAAAGCATTATTTTTAATTTTATAACTTGTAAGGTGAATTTGCAACCTTGAATTTTCTATACTCCTTGTTATGTAGCCATACACAATGCTGCTGGTCCAGATCTCGTACAAGCATGCTATGCTGTCCCAGAAGTCCAGCCTGGAATCCGTTGTCCAACTGGAGAAGCAAGGATTACTCCGTAGGCTGTTCTAGTTCAGTAATTGATCATGACCAACTGTTTCATTTGCAAATACTAATGTGACTTAAAAATGCAGAGGTTTTGGGTTGCCCGCATCTCATGTTATACATACTGTTGGACCCATCTATTACAAGAGTAGTAACCCCCAGGCTTTACTGAGAAGTGCATATAGGTTCTTGTTATGTATTTGCCCTTTCCTTTTCAGTTTGATTTACAATTCCGGACTTTAACATTTTCTGTTCCCATATTGATATAGAAATTCCTTGGCTGTGGCAAAGGAGAATAACATTCAATATATTGCCTTTCCTGCCATATCCTGTGGTGTGTTTAGGTAAGTTGACATGAAATGATTTCATTTTTTGCTGTAATTTCCTTTTAAGAGACAAAACAGTAGATATTTGACTTTATTTATGGGTATATTTTTTGCTTGGATAATGAGGTTGAATGTAATGGAATTTTACGTCTTTATATGTAGAGTTCTGTTTTAATCAGTTCCTTCGTGATTAATGCCGACAGAGCTTGGCTTGTCCACTGTTTTCTTTTTTTTCCTTTTATTTGTACTTGCTTCTCTTTAATGTAGCTATCTGTGATGGTTGATTGATCCAGATTCCTCATGCAAATATTTGTTTATTGATCTTTATTATACACTTGCAGATATCCTTATGATGAAGCTGCCACAATAGCCATATCTACCATTAAAGAGTTCTCCAGGGCCTTGAAAGAGGTAATGCATTACTCTATGGTGCTTGGGAAATGTATCCTTCTTTTGGTCACAATATTTTCTATTTTTGGACGTTTTTGGATTATTTTCCATTCTAAGTAAGTTTATAAAGGGGCTTTTGCCCTTTCCAGTATATTATTCTTTGGCCAAAAGCCTGAAACCTCCATGTCTTTGATACTCAGTACCCTCCCTACTTGCAAGTATTTTAGCAGCTGTTGTCGAAGTCTTCAAATTTTGTGGGTTCTCTCAACCTAGACTTCTTCTATCTCGTTATCCTTCTAGTCTCCATGTCAAGTGGGAATTTTAACTCCTCATTGCAGGTCTCATCTTCAAGTCAGGATGGTAAGGCTTTGGATTACTAACAAGTAACATGGATGATAGGTTGAATCTATATCTACGATTTATGAGAACTGAGAAGTTTTACCAACTTTTTGGATGATCTCTTCGGGCCCCCATATTTCCTTGTCATATGTTAGTTTTTACTTCCTCGAACAACTCTGTTGCTCTGGTGTTAGCTTTAGCTTGAGTAGCACTTGGTCTCCAGATCAGAACTTTAAAGGTTGTCGCTTCTGATCTGTCCATTTCTTTTATGTGTCTTGAATCTTTTTTTTGGGTAGGCTTGGACCACTTTGAAATTTGCTTACACTCTTTCCAGCATATGAGTGATCAATAAGATGTCACATTATAGGCTGCCGACTGCAAGTAATCTAAAGGGACCCCTTTCAAGTTGGGGAAATCTTTTGGCAATTAAAACAGGACCGTGCCACATCAAGCATGGACTCGGTTCTTTCGTCATGCATCAACAGCTTAGACAGCTTGGTCTAGAAGGTACTTGTAAATTTCCCATCTCTATCGTGGACAATCTTTTCTAGGATTCCCTAAAGCTTCACAACAAGAATAGTTGGGCTATCGTCTCAGTATAGACTACTTGATTGTGGGAATAAACGTGGTACACTTTGAAATTTGGTCACTAAATCTTGGATGTCACTCTTCTTGCTTCCAAATTGGTAGGAGAGTGTAAATCTCTAAAGAAAAGAGGTTTCAACCTGAAAGCATATTTTGAAAAAGCCTATGAGGTAGATTGGTCTTACCTTGACTTGACCTAGAGCAGTCCTTAGACCTAGATGGTAAAAGTAGATTCAAGTTTGTGGCTCTTCACCAACATTATTAAAGAACAAAGGAGACTGAAGAATTGAAAATAGCAGGGCTCTCCTCTTCACCAACATTCTTATCAACGAGAAATCAAGAGGTAAAATTTTGCTAGTAGTAGCCTTAGGTAGCGGACACCCCTCTCCCTTGTTATTCGTGCTGCTGCGAGTTTTCCTTTAGTTGCCTTATTTATCATTGTCGTGATAAGATCCTTAAAGGATTCGAGTAAGGAAAGTAGAAAACAGAGGTTTTTCATTTTCAATACGCATATGACACCATTAATTATTGTCATCTCTGAAGATGGTTTGTTGGAAAATTAGTTGTTAATTCTCGATCTCTTCCTTAAAACTTCTAGCTTCTCTATCATCCTGTCCATATCCACTATCATAGGCCTCGATGTATTGTCAGTTATGAGGAAGCTGCTTCTAGAGAGCCTGGTCTTGGTTGTAAGGTAGATCCTTTGTTGTTTAACTATCTCGGTTTTCCTCTTGGGGGTAACTCTAGATGTGTCTTTTATTGGGATCTAAGCTAGCCAAGTGGAGGAACATCTCAATCGCTACTCACTTTAGTGCAGTCAGTTCTTTCAAGTTTCCCACTCTGTTTCTTCTCCTCTTCCAAAATTCCTCGTGGAAAGAAAAATTGCTCTTCCACCGTGGAGGTTTATCCATGAGGATAATGCCCTTGAAGGTGACCAGTAACAAATCTGGGTCTTCAAGTTGAAGGTTGGCTAACCCAGATTCGTCAAGGCAGTAAATGTTGTCTTTAGCACCCAGGACAATCATGGCCACGTTGCATGAAGCTTACATCATTAAACAATATCTAAAAGAAACACAATTTCATTGGAGGTTCTTTCTGTGAAGAATTTACATCAAGGGAATCGAGTTCATTATTTTTCCTTGCCATTTTGAAAAAGAAAGTATGGGAGAAGTTCTAAGATGGTAACTTGTGTTACTGTTACTACTAATTCATACAATTTATCAGCAACTTGCAGTTACTTTATGGGAAAAATTCTTAGATTTTCACTGATCTTTGATGTAAACTTTTACACTCTTCTTTATCTCAATACAACATATATATATATATATATCAAATCCCACCTTTCGTGGGGTCTTTTTATCCAAGGGTTTTAGTAACCAGGTTTTAAAAAATGAGAACTCATATACAAATATGGATATATAATATTCATCACACAACCCACCTCTATGAAACAGATAGAGTCACAGATATCGTTATGATTCTAGTTTCTTATTGATCTCCTCAAATCTTGAATACATGTGCTATTATTTGCAGGTGCACTTTGTTCTTTTTTCATCTGATATTTATGATGTTTGGTTGAACAAGGCAAATGAATTGCTCAAGAACTAGCACAGGTTGCAACGGTATCATTCACCTTTACTAACTAAAAGTTCTAGTGTTGTATGGATCTGAACATAGTTATGCTTTCTTATTAAGTACAAATTCTCCGAAGGGGTTATTTAAAATAAACTTGGGATCCTTTCTCCAAAGAGTTTTCTTTCGAGTTTGGCAAATGAGCCCATTCGTAGAAAAACTATTGTTATGGCTATGTGGAACTTGACATATCAATGTTATGGCTATGTGGAACTTGACATATCAATGTTATGGCTATGTGGAACTTGACATATCGATGTTAATTAATATTTTGACTATTTGAGGACTTAGAAGAAATGATTTCAACCTATAGTAACCACCTAATTAGAATTTAATATCGTACTAGTTTTCTTATTAATCAAATGTAGTAGGGTCACACGGTTGTCTTAAGAGAATAGCTAGAGTAATATGTGCTAATCGGTTAGAATATCGACGAATATTATATATATGTATGTAGACTATTTGAGCCATGTTTTAGACGTGATATAACAATGGCTGAAATTATAGTTGAGTTGCTTTTTAGGGGAGGCAATCGTTTGTTTTTTTTTTTCCTTTAAATTAGAAAGATGCATATAGTATAGTCTAGAAATAATGAGATTTCTACAAAAGATTAAGTATATTGGGAGAGCTTTTCAAGGGTAAAATATAATCAGACTAGGTTAAGTTGATAAATAGCCAATACAAGTAGCATAATGTACAAAATAATCACTAATTGATGGGAGTACCAAAGTGACCAATTTTTTTATACATATTTTTATTTTCACTCACTCAAGTTTTAGGACTCTGAAATTGAAACTATAATAATTATTTCTTCCCATTTGATAAGATAATCATTTTGTTTGTTGTTTTCAATTTTTGAAAATTTAGTGTATAAATACTGTCTTCATCTATGATTTTTTTTTAACTACTTTTAATAATATTTTTAAAATCTAAGCTAAAATTTGAAAATGAAAAATATACTAAAGAAATTATGAGAATATAAACATTATTATATTTTTTAAAAATAAAAAATAAAAAATAAAGTAATTATCAAATGCTGAGTTTTTAAAATAGCTTTCTGTTATTCAAAGGTTAATTTTTCTTCTAACAGAAAACTTTTTTTTTTCTCTCTAATTAATGTTCTCTCTATGATATTTTTTGCTCTCTCTCTCTAAATTTACCCTTTCCAACTTTTATCTCGAAGAGCATTTCTTTTACCTCTAAAGATTAATTTTCTCTCTAACATATTTCTCTATCACTATCAGTCAATTTGTATTTAGTTCATGGTAATTGACAAGAGGTCATCAAGAGTTCGAATTCCTCACCACATTTCGCTGTACTAAAAAATCACTTTTAACTTTAAAAACATAAAACTAGAAATAGCTATCAATATCATTGAACTGTGCACAACCTTAGTAAATTCAAGTTGGACCTTCAAATTAGGGGATAATTTGACCTCCAATTATTTGTTTAAAAACATATCTTAAATAACTAGCAAAATTATCAAAATGGTTATTGTTTTAGACCAAGACGGATCTTCTCTAAATATTTCTTTCCATAGAAAAAATATTGTACTTATTTAGATCGAACAAATATATTAGAATAATTTAAAAATTAAAGCAATTTACTTGAAGCAAATATAAATTCACAATTCAAATCCCTTCCGCGACTACGTATATATTAATATTTATATATTCTTATATCTCATTTTTTCCTTTTCTCAAGAAATTGATATATGATATCAAGGGGGAAAAAAAAAGAAATTTATATATTTCTTTTCTTCTAATGTTGAATTGCAAAACTAAGCTCGACTCAGGGATGTAACTTTGACCAAAATGTCGTGTGTTCGAATTCGCACTCTCATATATTGTTGTACTAAAAAAATCTTGGTTAAATTATAAATTTGGTTCACATAATTTAAAAGTTTCAATTTAGTACCTATAATTTTGATTCAATTTCAAATTCGTCCTATGACTTGAAAATAAGCTTAAATTAGAGGAACTAAAATTGAAACTTTATAATTATAGGGATCAAATTTACCGAATTTTAAAACCCTTTCGCCACTGCGTATATATTAATATTTATATATTCCTTTTCCTATCTTATTAAATTCTTAGTAAAATCCAGATTTGGTACTCTGATTTGGGTATAATTTTAATTTGGCCTTCATGATTTCAGAAGTTTTAATTTAATCCTTATAATTTGAGTTCAATTTTAAGTTTGCCCCATTGTTTTAAAAGGTTCAATTTGATCATTGAGTTTAGTTCAAACCATTCATTATTTGAAGTTTGAATTAAAATAGCTAAATCGTAAATTGGCCACAATTAGTTAAATAGAAAACATCATCTTATTGCCAAATTTTTGTAATTTTTTTTTATCAAGAGGGTATTTAACTTCTTTCGACATTTCTATAGGGTGAATCAATATTTCTATAGTATTAAATAAAAAATCGACGAAATAGAAATAAAATATCGCTAATATGAATATAATATTAATATCTTAGTAACTTTTAACTTATTAAAAAAATTGAAATACTTATTTGCTAATTTAAATATTTTTTATGATATATTTTTTAAAATAAAATTTTATTGATATTTTCATGGATATTTCTATAAAATTGATTCTTGGATGTTTTCATGGAAATTAGAATCTTGAATATCGTATTACCGGATACGATTTTTGAAGTTGTACTAAAAGTATTAAATTGAAACTTTTATAACCCAACGGACTGAACCAAAATTATAAGGAATAAAATTTAAATTTAAAAATTTATTGGGAGCAAATTGACCAAATTTGTAAATCAATATATAAAAGTTTCACCGCTACAATTCTTTGAACTCTTCACTCTTCACTCTTCACTGCAGCATTTGCCCTCAAAGCCCTAATCGGCTCTATTCTATTTATTCTGAAACAAGATCCACGGCTTCGAAACTATGGTTAGATCTCTCACCATTGTCTTTATTCTCTGTGTGTTCTCCTTATAATTCCTTCTCCATTCATACTTTCTGCCTCTGGTTCTTCCAGACTTTCAAGCGCAGGAATGGCGGACGTAACAAGCACGGCCGTGGACACGTCAAGTTTATCCGCTGCTCCAACTGCGGCAAATGCTGCCCCAAGGTATTACAATTACTGTTTTGCTTTCACACATCTTTAATGGCCGCTGCGGAAATTGGTCCTTTTTGTGTTTATTTAGTTTTTTTTATGCTTTAGTGCAAGTATCGATGTTGCAACTGCGAGCGAGACAAACGGATTCGTGTCTACCGAGTTCTGCGGCTTTAATCTTGAATTTTGTATTATTTTGTTTTTTTTGAGATGGTTTCTGTGTTTTGCCTTACCTTCTGTATGTGTAGCTTTCTAGTTTTATATCAATGTTATTTTGTTATATATCAAGCTTTTAAATACGAATGTCTAAATTTCAACGTCGATAGAAAAGTCGAGTTATCAATTTCATGCAAATATTAATATATATTTCTAAAAACGTTATAAAAATACAAAATTTGTAAAAAATATTTAAATTAACACATTAATATTTCATCATTTATAAATAAGGTAAATGTTGACACCGTATTTGGTCCGGCTCAAATTTTATTATTTTATTTATTTATTATTAACATTAATATTAATATTTTATATTATAAAATTTTATTTGTTTTCATTCAAAATAACATATTTTATGTTATTATTTTTAAGGTAAGGTTTTAATTAAATTTAAAAATAGGTTTTGTTTTAAAAGAATTTGATTTATTATTAAAATAAATAAATAAATAAGATTTTATTTTAAGTAAATAAAAAGATTTGTTTAAATTAAAAAAAAAAAGGTTTTTTTTTTAATAAAACTGATTCTGTTTTACTCGTCAAAACTACTATAACGTGGCCTTTTCTCCGTTATCTTCCCTTTTTTTTCTCTCTTCAATTTTGACCCTCCCCATTGTTACCGTTACATTTTTACTTATTTAAGGAGGGGAAAGGGAACTGACACGAAGACAACGTGAGAGCAGGGGTAGCACAAATCTCATAGAAATTGGCTTTAAAAATTCAAATTTCCTTGCGCATCACACAAGTTTGAGAATTTGCCTGGGCGTCAAATCTGACTTTACTTCACTCTCATTGTCGAAATCTCCTCAAATTCCAATTCATACATGGTAAGTTCAATCATCTCACCCTATTTCGATTACATCAGTCAACTATGAAAGTTTTTTTTTTTTCCTTTCTTTTCTCTTGTCCCAAGTGGATCATAAACGAGGATGGGGGAGAGCATGAATCCCTGATTTTGGCAATAGAATACACAAGTTTTATAGTGGGACGAATTATTGAGTTTTCACCCCSTTTAACAGAGAAATAGAGATTCTCCGTGATGGTCTAATGGCAGTCTCAATTCACGTCCTCTCTGTCTCTTTCCATTTCCTCTTGCATTTTTTTAATCGGTTTCTCCCTTTATTTAAAAAGAATATTGATTCTTTTTTTTTAAATAAATTTTGTTTTAAAGTTAATAAATCTAAAATCATACGTATGTAAAGTTTGTTTTTAGAAGATTTGTCATTTAAGATTTGAAAATTTTGAATAAGATATTTTAAATAAGTTTGTTTAAATAAGATTTTTTATTTTTATTTTTATTTTTTTTTGTATAAAACAGTTTTATAGGAATACAAAATAAAGAGTTTTCTTTCTATTTAAATTTTCGTTTATACTTTTGTTTTCCTTTTTTTTTAAATAAAATTAAAAAATACAAAGGTTTGTATTTTAAAAAAGAGCATAATGTGTATCTTAAGGCAATATCACATTGGCAATGCACTAGGGTATTGACATACATGACACAAGTTCAAGTCTTTGATTGCCTCATTTTTTATCATTGTTTTTATTAAATAAAAGTTTTTTTTTCTTTTTAAATAAATTTTTTCGTTTATTTTTTTAAACAAAATTAAAAAATAAAAATTTTATATTATAAAAAACGATTTTAAATTGCATACTAAGGTCTTTGCACATTGGCAAGAGCTTTGGGTATTAACAACCATATTAAAAGTTCAAGTCTTTATGTGTGCCTTCCAATATTCTCGAGGTGTCGGCTTTCGTGCAACTCATATCTATTAATTCATATTTTATAATAAAATGTGAATTAATATAATATGCGACATTTAAAATAAGAAAAGTATTTTTTTTTGGACCAAATAACATAATGGGATAATTTTTGACAAAATGTGGTACCGTTTTCAAACGGGTGTCGTAGGGTGCTAACACATTCCCTATGCTCAGTCGACTCCCGAACCAATGATCTGTTTTTGCAGACCTTGTTTTTATTTTTAGGTGACCAATCACACCTCGTAGATGATTGGTGGCGACTCCAAACCCTTATCTCGAAAGAGACCCTTCAAGGGATGACGTCGGCCACTCCGCGTCGCGATGACGTTGCGACAGCTTGGCGACTCCGCTGGGGACATTTGAGAGTCAAGTCATTTATTTTGTCATTTATTATCCTATTGTAATATGTTTTTGGGTTCATTTTTTTGTTTGTTTTTTTTCTTCATTTAATTGTATTATTATTTTATTTTGCATCATCATGCATCTCACACACATTCACAAGCCTCCTACCCGGGCTTTACCTTTTAGGATTAGATCGGAGACTGAGTAGTGYGACCTTCGTGGAATTGCGGTTCCCGTGCAGGCGCATGAAATTCTCCACTCAAGTCGACCATACTGCCAAAGCATATGGAAAATTTGGGGGCCATTATCCTTTAGGATGCATTAGTACATAATTTCACATCATATTCATATTATATTTATGTCGGTTGTTATGTTATTCATAGCATTTTGTTTGTTTTAATAAAAAATTTAGGGTTGATTTGAAGTTTTAACCATAAAGCTTTAAATGAACCACTCTTTTAAAAAATAAAGGAAAAGAATAAAAAATAATTTACCTTACTTCTTCCTAGCTATTTGTTTAAGTTTTGGTTAGAAGTGTTGCCTTTCAAAGGGATTTTAAATGTCCCTATGTAGGCCCACAAAAAAAACTTTTAAATTTATTCGCTTCTATCCAAAACTTAGGAGTTTGGTTTTTTAACCCTAGACTTTAATTTTATGTACATATTCATGTCTCTCTCTCTTAGGATGAGGTTTTTTTATCATATTCTTGGAGCAATTTGTAGCACATTTAAATAAGTTTTTTTCCCCGTAAGGAAAATTAAACAAAAAAAAACTCTATGTCTTTCGCATGCATCATGTCTCATAGGTCAAAAAATTAAAAGAATATATCTCGCATTTATCATTTTACATGTCCATCGTTCTCACGCATCACTAAAAAACCTCTATATCATCTTATGCATGCATCATTTCACATGTTCATAATCATTTCAAAATTTTCCCCTAATTTATATCCAACATTTGCATAAAATCGTCACATGCATATCAATTTATATCTTAAAAAAATCAAAATCTGTGCATTCTCCATTACATCATAATTAACACGAACTCTTAGAAAAATAGCTCAAGAACCACATATTTACTATTCTTTATATACAAGGTACATAAAGCAGCATAACATGGAAGAATTTAATGCTGAGCTAAAGAAAATTAGAGACGAAATCCACGATCGAGTCATCGAAGAATTGAATATTGAGCTAAAGAAAATAAGAGACGAGATTCAAGAACAAGTCATGGAGGTGCAGAATGTAGAGCTAAAGAAGATGAGACAAGACATCGATAATATTCAAGAGCAAGTCATGGAAATTTTAAATGTCTTAAAGAATATTGTTACAATTGGGGATACTTCTCAACCTAACAATTTAGTCGAACCTCGTAATAATTCATCACCTAGGGTCGATCCACCTCTTTGTCAATCAACAGATGGATTCCCCCAACACAGTTCGTCACATGACACTCAGCTTTCCAAGAAAGGCCAATAAGCTCCTACAATCTGTCAGGTTGAGTTTGCATTCCAAGATGGTCAAACATCAAAGGCTAATTTAAAAGGTAAAGAAAGAGAAAATGCTACCAATAGAAATGCTGAAGAAACTACAGGGAAAGAATATGTTCGATGGGGAAAAACAACAGAACAACCGCCAGTGCCTTTAATTAATAAAGAGCCACACCTTGAAACGATTAGAAGCTCTTTTAAAAGGAAAAATAAAGTTCAGGCAGTAGTTTTGAAGCGCAAGGGGAAGTACCAACAAGGATTTGTGGCATACAGTCTTTCTACGGTACCCATAAACTCATTGACTCTGTAGGATGATCCACAAACATACCTGACAATCATAGTAGTCGGAGACAACTAAAGCGAGAGAGCTTTCATTCGATCCCAATATCCTATACCGAGTTGTTATCCCAATTATTTCAAGGTAATCTATTAGCTCCCGTACCCGTAGAGCCATTACGACCACCTTATCCAAAGTGGTACGACCCGCAAGTCCGCTGTGATTACCATGCAGGAGCTGTAGGTCATTCAACTGAAAACTGTACTTCACTAAAGCATAAAGTGGAGGTTCTAATGAAGACGGGATGGCTAAAGTTTTCAAAGGAAGATGGTTCACACATGAAGCATTAGAATCATGAGTTCACGAGACTATCAATGTGGATTTAATATTTTCCCACTATCAATAAAGTCTATTTCTTATTTGAAGTCATCTTTGAGATTGCTTGCTAGTGTTAAAACGACAATGAAGCTTTAGTCACCCATGATTTARCTAAGTACTTGTAAAAAAGAATGTGAGTATGTGGAAATTGAGCTATTTTTCTTAAAAAAAAAATTCAAAGTCATACATTCACTCATGCATCACTCATATCATATCATTGGTGGAAAAAAATAGTTTTCTTTGAAAATGCTCTCAATAAAAACTACATGATTTGAGATTTTCAATGATATTTTTTTTATATGGTCTACTCTTATAATTCTTGTTAGTGGAGACCTTAGCAAGAATCATAAACCAAC